CCATTTCAGCAGGTGCTCTGCCATTTCAGCAGGTGCTCTGCCATTTCAGCAGGTGCTCTGCCATTTCAGCAGGTGCTCTGCCATTTCAGCAGGTGCTCTGCCATTTCAGCAGGTGCTCTGCCATTTCAGCAGGTGCTCTGCCATTTCAGCAGGTACTCTGCCATTTCAGCAGGTGCTCTGCCATTTCAGCAGGTGCTCTGCCATTTCAGCAGGTGCTCTGCCATTTCAGCAGGTGCTCTGCCATTTCAGCAGGTGCTCTGCCATTTCAGCAGGTGCTCTGCCATTTCAGCAGGTGCTCTGCCATTTCAGCAGGTGCTCTGCCATTTCAGCAGGTGCTCTGCCATTTCAGCAGGTGCTCTGCCATTTCAACAGGTGCTCTCCCATCACAGCTGGCTAGGCACTAGCACTGGTCAGACAACAGAGTCTGGCTTTCAGGCTCTCTCACTTAGTGGAAACCAAGTCTTGCATGCAACACACTGCCAAATATAAGACTGGACGAGTCAAAATATACTGCTTTGCAAAGTAGAAGTGCCAGCCGAACAGTCTGGTTGATCTACTGTCGTGGACATGGAAATCCAGTCGAATGACCGGGGCCGGCACCATCAGTGCGAACAGAACGTTGCATGCAGTGCACATGTTGATCCGATGCGACCAGCGCGCTGCAGCGCACAAATGAATGTGTGTACGGTATGCGTACTCACGGCTGCATGGCCAGCGCCCTGGGGCCGCTAGACGTGCGACCGGATTTCCATGTCCACGACAGTACATACTTATAACATACCCCGGAACTGTTAGCTGCTCTGGCAGAAGCGGGAAAAACGAAATAGTGAGTACGGAGTATCTTTATACTGTATGGATGTTTTAGCATATGTACACCTGTTACATAACATGCATATACACAACCATCAATTTTTCCACAATGGGCCGTCCATAATTATCAATCTTTTTCACGAAACGAAAAAAGTTTGATTTGTGGGTGGGTCGAGGAGAGTTTCATTATGAAAAAATATTGATAGCTGAAACACAGCAGACACATAGCAGACTTAGCGGAGGACATTTAGGTTGGTTTTAACTCCAAATCATCAGACAATTATGATTGCCTCGTGACATGAAACTCGGTAGTCACAACCAACCTGAACGTCCTCCATTGAGTCTGCTACTTCGAAGTATGTTCTAAGCTCTGTGTGTGACATTGAGCAATCTCTGCAGCTCGGGGATCAATGCATTTGTGATAGCTGAAACATCAATCCAATCTACCTATCAAGTCAATATATTTTTCGTTGGGGTGGTGGAGTTGGGGAGAATCGTAACTAAAAATTTCCTTCCGTGAAAAATATCGATATGTCAGATGCCATTATCCAGGGTCAATCTCGATAGGCCACTGGCAGCAAGATATGACGTGTAACGTAGTGTCACAATTCAGGACTTTAGGTAGAGCAATCTTCTTGTAGAGTGCCGTATTAGTATCTCTGTTCCTCTGTCATTGTTTCTTTTTGTCTGTGTATGATAGGTTCACATTCATCCGTTCATTACCTAAAGTCTCATTGGCAGTGTCCTGTATAGCAGTTAGTAGCACTCTTGGTGATATTGCCTGTGCCACAAGTTTACCCACTCTTCCAACTACACGCAAGGCAACAGCAGCAGCAGCAGGAGCATCGGCAGCAGCAGCCATTACAGCCTGGACCATCAATGGACAAGTTGTTGGTCACTGCACAGTGTCAAGTCGCATTCTCTGTTTAGCCTACTCAACTGGCACAGAAGGTGTCAATGTCAATGTCTTAGCTGCTGGCCTACAGGAAGGTCTTGTCCGGTATGTACACCGTATGTCGGACATGGTATGCACGCTGTCCACAGTGTGTTGTCGGACACAGCGTGCACACTCACAACGGTATAATTATTTTTGTCACGCTACCAGTATCCTTTGCTGTGTTACAAAGTAAGACAAGAACCATAGTATAATATACTATAACGTGCATAAATAATAAGCGAGCCGAGCTTGCGTAACACAAAGGGTATAGGTTGCCCTCCCTCTCTGTCACGCAGTGCCACTCTTCAGATTACGTTTCTACAGTAGAAAATCAAGTAAAAATACATAAACCTAAAAGGCAGCTTTTGCCCCGGCACGGAGTGTGAAAATGTGGTCAATCAATTTTTTAGATTGTCGGGGTTTGTGTCTTCGTTTGAGTTCTTGAGGTTGTTTTATATTCGCGACCATGCCTCTAGGCATACAAGACGCTTTCAGGTGAGGCGAAAATGTTAAACGACTTGCAAACACAACTGGAGAAGGACCTGCGACTGAAAATGTCCTAAACAATTCTGGCTGAAAGGATAAAGGCCGAAAATGAAGCTTGAAAGTTGTAGACAGGTGGGTTCCCATCATGGATGAGTGAAAGTATTATAAAATGCAGGAAAATTTTCCTTGTTCACGGGTCAACACTCTGCCTGGAAGGATCGGGTAGCTTTTCCGGCTTCCCGCCACATTCTTGTTGTCGTCTTGGAAACTTTGAACCTTCTTGTGAAAGTTATAGCCTGCAGGCATGGTGACCAGGTGACTGATGTACGCATGAGCACTTGACCGCTTATTCAACCTTGTTTGATTGGGAATAAGGGCTGAACGCTGCATCGCAGCCTTCTCTGACCAAAACCAGTCGACTCAGCGTCCAAAAGACTACAACATATGGGCCAATCGCGGTCATCCGTGCTTCTATAAGAACGAAATGACGCTTTTAGTGACATTTTGCATACAAATCTCCGTCTAGTAGGGCACAGTCACCCAGTTTCGGTGGCAGTGGCGAGTTCGATTGGGAATAAAGGAGGAAGGAGCGTCTCAGCTTCCTCAGACCAAGACCATTCGACTCGGCACCCCGAAGACTACAACTGGTGAAAATTTTATTTTAGACTATACTTCCCCTTTAAGTCAGTCACGGTGACCATCTTGCATCGCACTGCTCTATAGCAGTTTGTCGTACACACCCTGAAATATCTTGGTGCCAAGAAGGGACCCACTAGTAACCTGGTCAGCATAGTATAATTAGTATAATTAGCGCTACTATGGCATAATAACGTTAGTAAGCAGCCGCACTACCTACCACTAGCGTATGTGTACACGCATGCCAGGCAATGCTTGCGCCAGGCTCTCGCTGCCAGAACGTGAGCCACGCAGGGCACATTCCCTGCTTGCAGCACCCCGACAGCTCCCCTGCCTGCATGCGCATCACTAGCCTGCTCGGTTGCCAGTGATAACTATGGTTTGCCATGCGCAGCAAACCGTTTGCAAGAACTGCGGGGCAGGTAAAGTTTTATGAAGCGCAGACAGGGTGTGGTGGCCATGGTCATATTCTTCCCAGGAAAGCGCTACACTGCCCCTACACAGCTCTGTACTCTCTAGGCTGGATTCTAGCCACATATTAGCACTGTTTGGTACCTGTGCTGCGGCAAAGTCAAATAGTGTATTGCTAATGATGATGCTGTTTTGTCACTGCTGTGTAGATTATTCAGTAGCTGGGACCTGAGTGTTATCACGGATATTCGTCTTGTATCGCCAACTTCTCATCCGATCACAGTGTAAGTCGTACTACTATGGTATCTGGGGGTACTTGGAGTCGACTACTCCGTATCGGGGGGGGGGGGGGGAGGGGGGTATTAGGAATCTACTACTATGGTATCGGGGGGGGGGGGGGGTACTAGGAGTCTACTACTGCATATACTACGGTATTAGCGGGTGCTAGGAGTCTACTCGACACATAGTTTTTACTAAGATCAGCAGAATATCAGAACAACACTGATCCAAGAACTCAAAGCATTCGAATAAATCTACTACGAGTCTACTACTATTTCCCGTTTGGCATCTTTCCCTCAAACCAGTGAATATACTATAGTATTAGTGGGTTTAAATTTCTACCGCCCACAGCCGCACCAAGTCCTTGGCTACACAAAATGAAAACCTCTCCAAATCTCTCCAAAACAAACTTCAAATTCTTTTCAAATTTTCGCCCAAGAGGGCATCCTCAGGGATATGGATGCCCTCTTGGGTGAAAATTTGGAAAGAATTTGAAGTTTGTTTTGGGGAGTTTTTTATTTGGCCGAACATTTGATGCAAGGTTCAGTGTGACAGTATATACGGGCAGCAGCAGTACAAGCCGAAAATTGGTTGCAGCCGAAATGTGTTTTAGCCCTGGGAGACCGAAAATTGAACGGGCCAAAAATTAGTCGACTTTCAGTATGTTGTTTCAGAGCAATCTTCACTGTAGATTTAGTTTTTGTCGAAGAATTACACAAGATGTTCTGCTCACTGTTCATGTGCTCTATGCTCGCAGGGTTGTGTTCAGCAGTGACAGCCAAAACCTATACGCTGCAGATTCAAGTGGCAACGTTCGCGCTTGGTCTGTACGTACACCCAATCTATGATTTTTCAAACCATTCCCCCATCTTCCCCTGTGACAAATGCGACCACTCCCCCTTATGTTGCTTTAGCCAAGTATGTGCCGTAGCAGATATTCACCTCCATTGATATTCCTTGATATATAGCCAAAGGGAGTGGTATGGTGTGTGCATGGTGTATGTGTGCAGTGTGTGTGTGTGTGTGTGTGTGTGTGTGTGTGTGTGTGTGTGTGTGTGTGTGTGTGTGTGCGTGCGTGTGCATGCGTGTGTGTGTGGTTATATTATTCATAATAATTATAAACGGTGGCTTGAACTGCTGCATGACTGCTCTACTGCTCTGGCGCGTTTAATGGATTTTGTTACAGAGCTTTACCAGTGGTGATAACAATACTGCTGCTGCTCCTGACCAATAAGCTTATATCTTGATGCAGGCACTTTTACTTGCCTATCCATTGATTGCCTTGATTGAGAAAGGGATTAAAAAAACTTCTTTTGATTGTGGTAACGAAGCAACATTCTTTTAAAAATGGACTTGTATCTTGTGGATTGGTTAATTGCAATAATGTTGCCCCAGCATTTTTTCTCTGTATCCGTGGCTTGTTTTCGCAAGAGTGACTGAGTCGTGAAGCGTATCACGATATCATTGTACCTTATTCATAGGGAAAGGCGTAGTATACATAACTGTTTTTTGTTTGTTTGTTTGGGTTTTGTTTTGTTTATGGATCTGCATCTTCCTATACCATCCCATATCCTTGTTAAAGCTTCTATACTAAGAGAAGCTGGCATGTAAATTAGTAAATTAGAGTGAGCAAAGATTCTGCTTATTTTGCTTCTGTTTTCATATTTTCAGAATATCCTACAAAATCACAGAACACAGATCACATTACATAGTACAGTCAAATCATATTTTTCTAACTCATGTTAGCATTCTCTACATGAAGACAAAGCATTTCATCAGTATTCGATTGCTTATGATATTCGATTGCTTGTGAATTTTGATGGTCTAGGTGGTCTACGTCTATGTTTGATTTGTGTTGCAGTGTGCGTACTTTTCCAGCGCTTAAAAAAGGCATTACAACTGGTGTTTTCCCGCTTCCTGCTAATTCTGATTGTGTTGCCATGCAGCTTCTTGGCAAACATTGGTTACTTTGATGCTCTCATTCATCTTTGTTAACATTGGTTACTTTGATACTCTCATTCATCTTTGTTAGGTCATTGCTAGGTCATTTAGGTCATTTTCGATTTGTCAAATTTTTCATTTCTAGTGCTGTATCATGGAATGCAACAAATGATAAAGATTCTCTTGCACTTGTGATTGTGGTAATGCTTCAATGGCATAGTGGCAATACGGCTAGAATGATCCACTCCACGTCTACAAACAGGATGCTAAAATAGGTTACCTACAAGATGACATCATCAGTATGAATTTAGAGTAGCTGCATGCAGGACAATGCAAGGCAACCTCTCTTTTGACAATACAAATATACAGTCTGAGGTAGCATGCACACCATGTCCTGCAATCACTGTCAATAGCATGTGGTGCAGTGTGAACATTTTAAATTAAGTAGATCAACTCAATTTCATGATACATGATACCGCACTGAGGTTATTCCGTTTCACGGCTTTTGTTTGGCTGGTAATCAGGCAACCATTGTGAGACACGCATGTGTAGCAAGTCACGCCGCTTCTGCTGTTCCGCTTCTTGGCGATGCAGTGGTACGTATGTCTGCCACTGTTGAAAGTATGACTTTCTCATACGCCTGCAAGACGAGCACAATATAGCATAAACAGCCCTTGGTCCAGTGAGTCTGTTGATTTGGCTTAGCCCCCATGACCATACACGGACATGTATCTGGCACCACTCAGTGCTACACATGCAGCCGACCACTTATAACGAACTCGCATATACATGTAGCGAATTTCGCTATAATTATAACGAACCATTGTTCATGTCCCTGTTCAAACCCATGCAAAATTGACCCTTTGTACCGAACACAGTTATAACGAACCCGGCATTTCTTGTAGGGTCGCATGATAACCAAGTGCATGCACTCATATGAGTGCATGCACTTGGTTATCAATATGATCATACAGCCATGGGCCACATGCCAGTTGTGATGTGTTTGTAAAATTATCGACTACAACTAAAAACTAAGCGGTCTTCAGACCCCTGTTGCAGTGTGATTTCCTGGTCTTTTCATGGAGAAAACTCTCGAAGACTGTATTCACTGTTTGGTTTCAACCGCACTCAATCAGAATCAACAAGAAAAACAACGATCGCCAAATCGCTGTCATCAGCAAAACGTGCACGCGTGCGTGCATTCCGACTAGGCCCAGGCAGATCCTGCCGGCAATTCTTTCGGCAAAATATCGAAGAATTGAAAGAGCGGAAATTGCCGGCAAAATCGGAGCAAAATATCGAGATGTTGGGTAAAATCGATGCCTGATTTCCTTGTTTCTTACCCGTTCAGCAGGATACACTGCCCAGGACGAGATCATGTCACCGAAATATCATTTAAAAATATCACTGTGATTCACTGTGGATCGACATGATTTTGGAAGAACTCAGGGACACGTGCGTGGAAACCCGTGTTGCAACGTTGAGAAACCGACCCTGCGATTTTTATGAAACGTACGGGATTGTACCGGAAGTGGATAAAATACACGTTTTTCCTGAGCAAAATGGAGCAAAATATCGAGTTTCTCGTGCCAGGCTCGGCAAAATATCGAAGATTTCGCAGCAACATTTTGCGGCAAAATATCGAGGCGAGCGGAGCAGAATCTGTCTGGGCCTAATTCCGACCATTTGGCTTACGTGTACAACCAAGAGTTACACTAGTCTTATTATACTCTTGCCAAATCTTGGTACAACGCGTACATCAGACTGACTGTGCACCGTGTAGAATCTACATGGTGTAGGCATGAAGAGTAGAAAAGCAGTGGAGAGATGATCACATCATGCATGATGCGTCAACGTAACCATAGAGATAATAATAATTATGGCGACAGCAAAAGTCCGCGTGCGAAAGGCCGAAAGTGCAGGTGCCACAAAGAAAAGTCAGACTCAGAGTGCAGAACAAACAGAAAAAATTGTGTACCAGTAATGCAGTATAATTATGGTCTTCATTCGCTTCAGCCTTTTTCGAGCGCTCTATCGAGTTGTGTACAAATACGACGACATGTATTAGTTCCTGTCAACTACTTCCTGCAAGCCCTGTGAGTGTGACGAGGTCAAAACAGCTAAAGCCGCCGGTCCGGGGCGGTTGAGTAGTAAGTTTTTAGTGGAAGGAATACACCCTTGCCGCTCTTTCAATCAATGATAGGAAGCACTGAATTTGATATTGACACTTTCCTGTTGTGCTTCAGGCCGCTAGATAAAGATAGAAGGTGGCTACCGGGTAAATGAACGCATTCAATATTGATTCGTGATACTGTGAGAGGCAAGCCACGACTCATACTTATTTTGATTCGAGTGGCAGTGAAGCGACTCCGCCAGATGCTTCAGAAATAAGGCTGGTTGCGGACAACACCGGCACTAGTATCAAGTGGTCGTTTGACTCACGAACAGCGGACTAGTGTCCACCGTTGGCGAAGAAAATGCTGCGCGAAGACCGCCGCGGACGGGGTGTGAGAATAATACGACATGACGTCGAGGGCGCGATGTCACTGTGACTTGAGTTGAGTGGCTGAGCCAGTTACGCTAACTACTTACGGTGAGTGAACCATGAGACAAGTGTGTGTGGGGGGGGGGGGGGCACTGGTGCCATCATTTGTATTTTTATTGTATTTTACAGAACAAGGGCAATAAAGGCTTGTTTGTTGCTACTTAAAGGGGAAGTATACCCTAAAATCAAATTTCCACCAGTTGTAGTCTTCTGGGTGCTGAGTCGAATGGTCTTGGTCCGAGGAAGCTGAGACGCTCCCTTCCTACTTGAATCCCAATCGAACTCGCGCACTTCCACCGAAACTGGGTGACTGCGCCCTACTAGATGGGGATTTGTATGCAAAATGTCACTAAAAGCGCCATTTCGTTCTTATAAAAGCACGGATGACCGCGATTGGCCCATATGTTGTAGTCTTTTGGACGCTGAGTCGACTGGTTTTGGTCCGAAAAGGCTGCAATGCAGCGTTCCTCCTTTATTCCCAATCGAACATGGTTGAACAAGCGGTCACGTGCTCCTGCGTACACCAGTCACCTGGTCACCGTGCCTGCAGGGTACAACTTACTAGCCTGTTTGACCTTTTTTGGGTGCAGTCCTGTCACTCGAGTTGAACTCGAGTTGAACCTTGGTGTGAAAGTAGTCGCCTGCTGGCGCGGTGACCAGGTGATTTGGGCACCCAGGAGCACGTGACCGCTTGTTCAACCATGTTCGATTGGGAATAAAGGAGGAACGCTGCATCGCAGCCTTTTCGGACCAAAACCAGTCGACTCAGCGTCCAAAAGACTACAACATATGGGCCAATCGCGGTCATCCGTGCTTTTATAAGAACGAAATGGCGCTTTTAGTGACATTTTGCATACAAATCCCCATCTAGTAGGGCGCAGTCACCCAGTTTCGGTGGAAGTGCGCGAGTTCGATTGGGATTCAAGTAGGAAGGGAGCGTCTCAGCTTCCTCGGACCAAGACCATTCGACTCAGCACCCAGAAGACTACAACTGGTGAAAAATTGATTTTAGGGTATACTTCCCCTTTAAAGTTTCATGCTTTCGCAATCATTAGGCAACATGAGGATGGGGTACTGACCATGCCGGTATATATGCCAGCAGAGGGTGGGTCTTGTAGCGCTGTATGAAAAGCTGTGTGTAAATGTGGGGGCTGTATAGATTTCTGGGCTAGCGGTGTTATTTTAGGCAGTGTGCGCAGAGTGTGTGGTTGTTTTAGGCAGGGGGCTGTAGAGGTAGTGACAGGGCTAGCAGTGCAATGTTAGTGCAGAATGTGTGGCTGGTGTGGGCAGGAGGTTGTGAGCAAGGTGCATGGATGTTGTAGGCAGGAAGCTGTACAGGTATATTCCGGTGTATTGTATTTTATTATTTTACTTGGGCATTCCCAACAGACCCTAAGGTAGGGATATCAGCGAACGCACTGCGCAGCCCATCTGCGCAGGTCAGCCTGGCCCATCTACGCGCGGCCGACAAGAAAACTCATGAACACTTTCATTTTTTTGCAAAATAAATCGTGTGAAGAAGATGCACGGAATGGCTGAAAACTAGGCTGAGGAATAGAGACTCTCAAACAAATTCATGGTCCATCGCTTCTGACAATGGCAGGGAAGACATCAGGGAGCTGATTGCAGCAACTCTTTACCAAGCGCGATGCTGGTTACTCACCAGGGCAGGGCGCTTCCATCGCGCAAGAAATGGCCGCGAGCGAGAAATGCAAGTCCGATTTTGGAACGATCCAACCAGGGAAATCTCTTGAAATTTGGCCTGAACACCTCTCATACTGGTGTTTCACGATGTGCAAACTTTCAGAGAAATCGACCGGGGAGAACGTGGTGAGTACGTGGGTCCTTCGTCTCGCGTATGATTTGAATGGTCACGGGGACAGAAGAACAGTAATTTTACGACTCCCAGCGGTGCAAACAGACCGCGGCCATGTTTTCTCTGTCGGCCGCGATCACGTTCAAAAAATCGATGACGCAATGCATGCGCAGAGGCCTGCGCAGTGTGTTCGCTGACATCCCTACCTAAGGTCTTCTTACAGGGTGCCCAAGATGAATGAATGTGTTAAGTTCCTGGCGGAATATATTGGGGATATGATAAGCGCGAAGGGCTTCGGGAAGCGCATTAAAGTGGTCAACATCAATCAATAAAATATATTTGTATCCAGCTTAGTTTGCACAATGAGTAAAGAAAGGGAATTATTGACTTGGCCATCATCATGATCCCTTCTGGGCCATGTCACAGCTCATCCATGTTACTAGTTCATGCCAGACCATGCCCAATCAACTGTGGGTGGCAGTACTGTGAATTGGAAATCCTTCAGCTGTGACCTGGCATCAGCACTGTGACAGTCTTGGGAGTTGTGTACTCCTGCTAACACTAGCAATACTTGGAAACAGTTTTATCATTAATTTTGTGGTGACCGTGCCCAGAAGTGTAGACAACTGTCATAGTACCATTTTACCATTTTACGGGTTATTAGCTGCGTTCACCTATACCAATGTGCAAACACTCTCCCCTCAACTGCTCCCAATTCCCTTCAGCATGCATTTCCGTTCAATATCATCGACACCTGGAGCACGCCCCCGGCTTCCCTATTGGAGCCCCTACTCTTCCCATTGTTGTGTTATCCGGCCTGCTACAGTCGACCTACCTTTATAACGATATTTGCGTCAGACCAAGATATATTGTTAGAAGGGTAATATTGTTGTAGGGGTAACTGGTTCATTTCATACACATATTATGCCATAATGCATGGATTTTGTTCATTTTTTACACTCTTCGTAGCATAAAAAACTGACGTACATGCACATTATGTACACAGCAAGGTGCCCCCATTGCATTTCGTCATGTCCCAGTGACTCATCAAGCGAAGCTTGCCCTACCTGGATAGTGGGCTCTACATATTCACTGCTAGGTATTGTTATAAAAGGGAAATGTCGATATGTCAGCCCATTTTATATCGTTATAGGGGTAATATCGTTATAGCAATATTGTTATAGAGGTAAGGCATTGTATGCACAAGTCAATGGAGTGATTGGGTTTGGCAGAAAAATATCGTTATAAGGGTAATATCTGCTATAGAGGTTATCCTTATAAGGGTAGGTCGACTGTACCTCTCTCGTGTCTTCTTATAAGTAGGTTGTGTCTTTAGTAAAATATATACCGGTATATAATGCACTGTCGTACAGAGAGATCTCCTATCGACCATGGTTGCTGTTCCTCCCCCCCCCCCTTGGTAGCTTCTAGCTGAGTTGGTTTCAAAGTATTTGTCTTCCCAAAGACATGAGATGGGAAAGAGAGTGTTGAACGGTGTTTCTGCTTTTGTGGCCCGGAAGACGTGCTCAAAACAACAGACAACTTGATGATAACATGGCAAGAGAAGGTGATCTTTGTCACCAAGCAATTGAATTTGAACACTGTCCGGGAAATTGGAAGCAAAGAGGTGTACACAGAGCAGCAGGTGAATCACAAAAATCGACTTCTCGAAGGCGAAAGGAGAAAATTGAAAACGCTATTGCAAGATTTTCTCCTTTCTCCGTGCTAAATTTTGAAAAAAGCCATGTTAAACTTTTTTTTAATGTTTGCATTCTTACTTAAAAGTAAGCCTTGAATGCAAACATGAGTGTATGACATACCAGCTTCCTGCCTCGTGCAAAAAACACAGCTTTGCACAACTGTGAAATCAAGCTGTATTTCAGCCGGGCAATTTTGGATAACCGCTTTGCCTATAATTTTGACTAACCTGCAGTGACAGAAGAAAGCGAAGTTTACCATCATGATCAACAGCCCTAGGACTATAAAGTAAGCCAAAAAATGTTCGGTGACATTGTCCATTCAATTTAATATGGCGTAAATGATCCATTCTATGTGCTGCGTCACTGGTATTATGGGTCGTTTCCACGTGCTGCATCACTGGTATTATGGGTAACAGTTGTAGATTACTAGTATTCGATCGTTTGTTGAGTTGGCATTCAAGCAGGTAATTATTCATTGAAATTGCATCACTACTCTAAACCACGAGGTAAAGCTTTCACCACACCTGCTGTGCAGAGTGCTTCAAACTACAGTACAAACCTTCAACACACCTGCTGTGCAGAGTGCTTCAAACTACAGTACAAACCTGTCAATTAGTACTCTTTTTCCCGTTTTAATCCCTTGCAGCAAACTTGGGCCTCACTGCTCTGGTGTGTGCCATCTCATCATGTGCAATGGCATAGTCAGTGGCAATCAGTGTAGTTGGTAAGGGACTATTAAAGTTACATACATGCATAAGATTACACTGGGCAGGGCATGTAATATTTTAATCTTAGACTGATAGCCATAGCAATCTACAATAATATTGCTATCAACTGTTAGTCGCCTCAGTACTGTCAAACTTCAGTTCAAACTCGTTGTGCCCTGAATATCATACCTTTTCTCTTTGCCAACTCAGTCCACCGCGCAAGGTGACTAACAGTTGCTAACACTATTGCTACAGATGACTGGACTGGGGGTGACAAACTGTTGCTGACACTGTTGATAAGTTGTCATGGTGACCTCACAATGAGGAAGAACAAGCGTAAGGGCAACCATGGCCAGCACTCTTGCCACACAGGACAATCCTCTCATCGTGCTGATTAAAGTTGTGTTGTGGATCCCCATTTTGTTGCCAAATGCTGAAAGGCATATTCTTAGTCTTTCTAGCAATGACAGCAGCGAAAGTGAAGCGCCTACTGGCACGAAACTTGTTAATACCAATCCCTACGCACACATGTTTCTGGTCGTAGCTCTAGCTTTTGAACTCACCTTCAATGTATTTTACGAGCGGGCGGGCTCGCCTGCAGGCGTGCTTGCGTACGTGCCCGCATGCATGCTTTTGTTAGTATATTGTAGGGCTGCAACAGGTAGGGGTTTGGTCGGGTAACGTGTTCGGGTATTTCTATCCGGGTAGCACGGGTATTTTTTGACACAGTTTGTACTGTGAGTGTGCACTTGCGCTACATAGAAAGTGTACAGTACGCACGTAGCCGTGCTGTTTACATGCACCGTTGCAAAAAAACACAGTACTCCAACTACCCGATCGGGTTCTGAGGAGCAACTTGCTACCCTACTACCCGATCAAATTCCGGGTAGCACGGGTACCCGACTACTTGTTGACACCCCTAGTAAATGGTGTACGGCGCCTTAGTAAAGCAATATTAAAAATGCTGGTTATGTTAAAGTGTGTCCGAACAGGTGCAGGGACAGCATCACTAACAATGCCTGCACAACCAGCACTCACCGGTTGTCGTGTAGAATAGCTCTCCGTTCCTTCTCCCACTGATCCCTTTTTACTTGTCTGCAGTATTCTCTCCAGGCATAAAAGTGTTCTTTGCGGAGTTGCTTGTTGTTGTGCTCCAACGCTAGCCGGTAGAGTTCTTTGCCTGCCAACACTTCCTGCATGGAGAAAACACGTAGAGATCATGTGTAGAGAACATGTGTAGAGAGAGAGTACGTGTGAACAATGTGTTGTGCAGTGTGCCAACAGGTTCAAAAGAAATCACATGGCATGCTTGTTTTGATTTCATCTGTCCTGTGTACAGTGTGAATGTACCATTCATGTTATGCATAGCATAGTCTTGTAATGGTACTCTTGGCATGCGTTTGTCATTTCTTTACCGGTGAAAGCGGCAGGTCTGTTGGAGAGGGCAGGGTCATTCAGTGTATGTGTTTTCTCCGTATTTCGTAATATGCCACGCTCTAACAAGTCAGGCACTGCAAGATGCTTTGTCTAATTTTGGCAGCTATTGAATTGTGGCTATATTCGGCACCGACCCCGAACACCTAAAACGTTGATGAAAATTTTCGTATTGGCTTTGGTGGTGTACTAGGTATTTACCCCGTGCCAAAAAATATAACGCTGCCGAAATGTCGAAAATCGTGAATGCTGAAAGTTTGCAGCGCCGAAATTCTATATATTTACAGGATGCACTGTGACCATGAAATATGAGCAATCACACTAGTGGAATTCATGGAGTAGCCTGAGCATCTTCAAACTGCCAATGTTCCAAAAAAAAAAAATTTCACGGTTCGCGTGAGACTCGGCCAAAGGCCCAGTTCCAAAACTGGACAATAATTAATGGATGTGTGAAGAAAACACACTTTGAATCCTCCCTGCTGCAATCAGTAATCACACACACACACACACACTACTGTACTGTAGGTGAAGAAGTCAGGATCACTTTGGCTAGTCCGCTTGTTCTCATTGCTGTACTTCACTATGATGGAGTTGTAGCATACTATGATGGAGATGACATGATCCCATCATGAGTGCCCGTGAAGTGATGTGCGTTTGACCCAAAATTTGGAAGTTCTATGTGGTCCATGGTAAATGCAATTTGGGATCGTGATCATGGCCTTGCTCTGCTGGCCCCAAAGGCAGTCCAGAATTTGATGCTATATGCAAGTACTGCAAAAATCAACTCTCCCCAAGGGGGGGGGGGGAGGGGGACTCTGCTCGAAGGGTGACTGGAACGGGTAGCTCGGGAGTGAAACCAACATGGTTAGACGTGGTACTAGTCTCCCAAGATGATATAACTCCCTGTTATTGACCCTTCCCCTCCCCTGCATCTTGTTGTTTTTGGCCATGTGATTAAGCAATCACTATTATGAAACTAGGGCTGCCTGCTGCTCCTCATTGATAACACTATTGCTTGGAGGAAAACAAAATAGCCAATACCCAAATCGTGATACTGCTGCTGCTGTAAATGTCGATGCTGCCGCTGCGTTTGCCACCTCCAACTGCTGGGGTGCCTCGTGCTGCTGCACTACCATACCCCTGTCCATCCTTCATTGGTCCGCATACTAGACCCAGGTGCTCAACATCCGGGACACTTTGACAGTAATTGTTTGCTGAGTTGAAACTCACACAAGCAATGAATGATCACACCAGCAATGAATGATCACTTGCCTGAATCCTGCTCGTGGCTGGAAGGTATTTTTGCCCAAGTTTGTTTTGAGGCCGGGCTCGATTAAACCAGGCCACCTTTAGATCCGATCTGTTTCTCTGAAGTGCGCCGATTTTTCATATTGGCAAATTTCGGTGTCGCAGAGGGTACTCTAACTCTGTTCAGCTCAGAGGTGACTTGAAATACACATATAATTTCTGCTGATTGCTGACTTGCTATCCATCGGTGACGACGAAAGTATGAAAACAATACGTTTGGCATGTGCCTCCACCAGTTTCCCTAGCAAAAGCATAGTTTGTTGGCGAAAGGCAAACTGTTTTTAGTCGGCTCAGAGAAGAAGCAGCTGCGCTGTGAAAACCACGGGAAAACAGTGGTGGAGATCCAGGAGTGTCAACCTTTTTATTATATAAATGCAATGATTGGTGGTTCTCTGAAAATTCTCCTTCAGCTATTCTCACCTCTAAGCTGGTTCTGGATGATTGAGTGAAGGTCTGTTTGACGCTGTGTCTGCTCAAAATCGATCGTGGCAACGTTGATTTTTGCATGATAAGTAACTCAATTTGTATTTCGTATTGACGCTTGAAAACTCCCTCGCGTGGTATTGAACTTCTGCTTATCTTAGGCCTCTGAAAATTTGTATGCGAGATCATACACCAGTGACTCCTCGGTAAAAGATTTGAGTCAATTACAACCACAGAGCATGAAATTATGGGTGTTCGGAACTAGGATACCTGTCCGGACTTTGAGCATCTGGGTCAACTCGAGTACTTTGTTCATGATGTTGTACTCATGGTGGCAGTCATGAGTACGTCTTATGCTTTTTGTCCTTGCCATGCCCGGTCCTCTATCTGCTGGATATGGCTTTTTTTATAGCACCTGGTGGACTCTCCCGCCTTTTTCCCCATACACGCACGGTGGTGTATGTATCGTAGACTCCAGTGGCAACCGGAAACCTCGCCGGCTCTGCCATGCATAGTATGCAGTGTTCAGCCGTACTGACCACCGTATCTGCCTGACACTAACAGTAGCGCATTACAGGACACGCTCAGTTAGTACTTTAGGCTTAGTATGCGCGCTAGGGCCACTGCGCCATGAAGGAACCTGTTCCCTGGTGCGTGTCATGTGCAATGTAGTAACCATTACCTTGTTAGTGCTAATACCTTTATGTAAATATAGGGTAGTCTCGCCGGTGCATAATTACAATGGTGTCTCATGCCCGTGCGCAGTTTCATGCCCGTGCGCAGTTTCATGCCTGCGTACACAGGGTACGGGCCGGGATTCACATAGTGCATCTACCTGTCCTTGTGTGTGCCCCACACTGACACTATTACGCGCCAAGCCAGCTGCGTTACTTGTGCTGCAATAACTACGGTATGCCGTACGATGAAAACCTACATTTTCATGGCTTTTCTACCAACATGAATGTGGGACTTCCACAGACACTCCAGCTACATGTAGCTAGCTAGCCTTCTGGTTTGCAGTTACTTACCCTGACTTCTCAGTGCTTTCATAGCTAGGTTGCATGTGTGGCGACAATGCCAATGTATTTCATAGCTAGGTTGCATGTGTGGCGACAATGCCAGTATATTTCATAGCTAGGTTGCATGTGTGGCGACAATGCCAGTATATTTCATAGCCAGGTTGCATGTGTGGCGACAATGCCAGTATATTTCATTTTTATGAGAATACCAGTGCATTTAATGTTATAGATTTGCCAATAGAAATAGTTTCACAAATATTTTACGATCACAATATATATTACTTACCTTCTAGTTCCAGTAAGTTTTGTAGTATTCAACAAATGGAAAATGCTTTCAGTCTAGCTAGACTGAATACCTTGTCCATTTGTTGAATACCACATACTACAAGACTTACTGGAACTAGAAGGTAAGCAATAATTGTTGCGATCGTAAAATATTTGTGAAACTATTTCTATTGGCAAATCTACAACATTTAGTAGCCAAGACGTATGGCTGCAATAAGCTTGCTCAGTGACAGTTAACCTCTAGACATGCAGGTAATACAGCTGCGCAAGACAATGGCCGGGGTGGTTGCAGTGTACTTACATACAGCCATGCTTTGAAATGGGACCTCATGACGTGGATCTGATTGAGATCATCTGCCAATTGTTGTCGACTCTCCTCTCTCCTCCTGCAGTGCATCAACCAGTGCTGGAACGCAGATACCTTTAGAAAGTGCTCGCTAAACTGATCTGCAAGATTTTCCAATTTCTGAACGTGAGTCATGAATTTTTTCCAGGGAAGAAGACCATGGTATTTCACAAGAGACATGTTGTAATGCCGGGCAGCTACTTGATTTTGCTCTAGCTGCTTGCGAATAGCTTCTGCCTTCATTCGTTCAGCCTAGAAAAAGCAGCACATAAATGACTGATGAACTTAACTGAATGTGCGTGTGGGGGGGGGGGGGGAGGATGTGCATGTTTGAATGTGCGCGTGTGTGTGTGGGGGGGGGGGGGGGAGTGCTTGCCAGAGTGTGTACAAGAAGTCAGATACATCAGTATCCATCTAGACACGGGTCTAGCATCCTCAAGCTGCATAGAGAGCACAATGTTTGGTGGACAAAGCCAGGAATACAGTACACATGTACTTCGAAGTACATGAAGTTGGTTGCTCCAGCGAGGAACACACGCTTCCTGACGAACTTGACACTTGACTGACTAGCATGCAGGTGGTCTTCTTGTCCAGGTTCAGTGGGTCACGTGACCATATCCAATTCATAATCATGTGATATATCATTTTGATCAGTGTATCACACTGCGCACACCTATGCTACTCTAGCACGACTCATGTGCCTGGGGTCCTCAGACCTGCCAAGTGTCGTGCTGCACCATGTACATCTTTGACAGCGAGGGCAAATGCACCTTTCATAAACAAGTAAGTGATTCTACAGACTGAAGAGCGCTCTATGCCCTGTGGCAAAGCTGTTTTGCAAAGCGAGATTTTCTGGGAGTAGAGAAATGTGGGCTGTCTGATTTTTTTACAAGAGTACCCGTGAAGAGTACTAGTACGCACAGCTAACATTGCAAATAATGACCCTCGATCGTGCATGAGAAAAAAATCGTTATTCACGAGTTGTCGTTATATGTAAGATGAGTATGCAGTTAAATGGTCACTAGGTCTGAGGATTGTGTTTTCATTTTTATAATTATGTGAGTTGGTGTTATACTTGGGGTCGTTATTCACCAGGTTGACTGTACATCAGTCACATACATCACATACATCAGCAAACACGTCGTTCTGCAATGTTTCTGCTAGTCAGAAGACATAACCAAGTGTACCTCTTTTGTTCGAGCTCTTTCTACCCGTCTTTTCTCCACTGCTACCTTCTTCTCAGCCTCTTGAACTCTACGTTTTTCTTCATCAAGTTGTCGCAGGTCAGCCTGTAAAGGATAGTGGTCAGCAAAGCATGGATCAAAAACCAATTGAACCCTGTGCGAACAACTAGGTCCGTGCTAGCACACATTGATTTCTAGTGTGTAAAGAGTCAAACCAGTCACTGGAACCGCTGTAGCACAATTGTATCTAAATGTAACCAGTGCCGCGATGATCTGGTATGTCCAGTATAGCCGGTGTGCCCTGTGTATCTAGTATATCTATTGTAACCAGCGTACCCGGTGTATCTGGTAATACCGTGTCAACAAGCATCCTGCTGTTGGGTCTTATGATTTGGTGACCGCAATCGTTAAGTTAGCCAAACAAATTTCCACTGACTAGCAGCATTTAGGTCTGCAGGAAATATCGCCTTACTGGACCATGCGGATCAGCTTACTAGTCTCTGTTCTTCTGCTTCCTTCTTCCGTTGCTCCCGCTGCTTCTTTCTTGCAGCTATTGCCGTACTACGTTGTTCCATTGCTACGGACAATAGATTTTAAAAAGTGCGATAAAGATGTGAGGTGAATGGAAAAGCGGATGAATATGGCAATGTGTGTGTATATATAAGCGAGACTAGTACACTGATCAGCTGTATTAAACTATGTCGCCTATCGTCATCATGGCTGGAGGTGTGGTCTTATTTTACTCCAAATCGCACTGAGGGAGGGGTGGGGGTGAGCACTGAATGATGAGTCGGATTGGATAATGGGGGGGTGGGGGGGGGGGGGTGGGGTGGGGGTGAGCACTGAATGATGAGTCGGATTGGATAATGGGGGGGGGGGGTGGGGGGGGGTGGGGGTGAGCACTGAATGATGAGTCGGATTGGATAATGGGGGGGGGGGGGTGGGGGGGGGGGTGAGCACTGAATGATGAGTCGGATTGGATAATGGGGGGGGGTGGGGGGGGGGGGGTGGGGGTGAGCACTGAATGATGAGTCGGATTGGATAATGGGGGTGGGGGGGGGGGGGGTTACTGTAGCATGAGTCTGATTGAGGAGGGGGGGGGGGGGGGGTCTGGATGATCCATCAGCAAACATGTATTCCTTTGCCCCCCCCCTGATATTGGGACAACAAGTTGCCAACGTACAGCAGTTTTATGAAATGCTGCTGATGCATGCACTACCGTTTACAAATGTCTTCATATCATTCTTCCCTCCGGGCAAAATAATATGTCCCTTTCCGACAGCAGTCCGTGCACCAAGGGGTACTCAAGGGCCGGTTCTATTTGCAACCGTGGGAAACAGTCACCAAGACTTTAGGAATTGGAGAATTTATTGAATTTAGGTACCCTTCTATAGAACTAACCGAGGCCGTGTGGGGCCAGGAGAGCCCTTTGGCTCTGTGAACACACTAGCTAAGCGATGGTCTAGTTAGTTAAAATACTACATTGCTCGTAGTTTTGTGGTCCACACAGGTGACCCTTGCCTTGAGAAAGACGTCAGTACATTGCTCATTGTTTTGTAGTCCACACCGGTGGCCTTTGTCTTGAGAAAGACGCCAGTCACCCTATTATCCAGCAAGTGGCCTTCACTTCATATTTTATTTCATTGATTTTTCAGACGCAAATAGATGCCTATCACGTGCATCTTAAAAGGGTGAAAATACAAACACAGACTCAAAGACAGGTACAAAGACAGATTCCTTTCAAAGACAGGTTCCTTTCAAGACAGGCTCCTTTCAAAGGATCAGCCGGGGAAGTGAACTGCCTGAAAACGGAAAAAAATGCCAGACCCACCAGGACTCGAACCCGGGACCTTGCGTGTCATGAGCAATGCTCTAACAGGTTACTTTCACGTTCTTTCCATCACCTAGTGGGCCCTTTTTGCGTAACAGCAAATCCCGATGATGTAACCGATCCATTATGTACATGGCTTACATGTGATCCTGTTATAGGCGATTCACACGACTGGCAAATCCACGTTATTCAGGTGTCTGTGGGAAGTGGAACTTGAAGTCCGCAGTTAGCACAGCTACGGGTGGCGGCCAGAGCTCTCGTGAGTGTACGTGAGTAAACTGCGTTACCCTGGTGATACCGCTGTGATTTGGAATGAGTAGCTTTCTCATCCAACCCGTTCAAGACTACCATAATGTTGTACAATTGTACGACCTCTCTGACCTCTCTGCTCTCTGGCTCATAACTGTGAAAGTGCCCGCAGATGAGTGCATCCATGGGCGAAATGCTCCTGGACACTTTTGATTCCCTCGTGCAAATTTTGGTCGCGTGCAGGAAAATCGCCATTGTAATTTCCCTGTATACGTGGATTTGGCTGTCATGTGAATCACCTATTACGGTGCTGCTGGGTGCATAACAGGTGTTCCGCGCATTTACTAAAAGTGTCACTCGCAATACGGGTTTGACCTCAAGGGCTCTCTTCTCTTTGGAACTTTGCTATAGTGCATGGCACTAACGCAAAACAGCTGTCACGGCTGATGAGGTAACAGCTTTTGTGCTCGCCCGTCGCGATGTCGCTGAACTTGTCCCGATTCCAAAGTGCTTGAATAATAGCAGTCACATAATTATATAATCCCGATTCCAAAGTGCTTGAATAATAGCAGTCACATAATTATATAATCCCGATTACAAAGTGCTTGAACAATAGCAGTCACATATGCAAGTGAGGTACTCACAATTTTGTTACTAGACTGGTAAACATCCCTCTTTATATTTGCTTACCTGAAAGAAGTGCTGATTGCTTTGTGTGGTGAGCTTCTACCACAGCCTTATGGTGAAGTTGTGCATTGTCAACCTTCAGTTGTGGCTTTGCAGCTTTACTTCCACCACTATCCTCTCCTCGTGTCTGAGAATGGGCTTGTTTATTTACTGGTTGGCTTTTCCATGGCTTATGAGCAGTGGACTTCTTTGGTGAAATCTGAGCAATGGATGCATGGCTAGTTCGAGGAGGATTTCCTGTAGAGGTGGATAATGTGGCAGAGGTGCCAGAGCTGGGTGTTGTAGATTCTAGTGGAGATGTTAGCTTGTCTGCTCCTCCTTGGCTGCTCTGAGGCTGGTGGCAAGCTACACTTGCACATCCTCCATCAAACGAGACTGCTTTCTTCCTCGTAACGCATTTTGACACGTGGTCGTGAGTTGATGGCCTTTCCCATTCTCCTTGGATGTGGTCAGTATGGCTAACGGCTGCTTCATCCTCATCATGCTTGTTCACGTTCTTTACCGTTTCACTAGCACCATGCGCTTGTTGAGCTAGCGAATGCTTGCCCGTGTGTCTAGATACAGCTGCTTGTTCCTAGATGATAGAAGGTGGGAATGAGTTTGGTACAAGTGCAGACAGATAGAAAGTAGAAATAGATTTAACTTGACGGAATACTTTTGAAATTGGGGATAGAGTACGGCACAACAGCACGCGGCTCATGAAGTTTCCTAGGGGCTGTCTGTCATATTTTATGTATGAAAATAGATCCGGATACTGGCCAAATTTAGGCTGATCCACCTTCCCACACCCCTTTTCGGACACTTTAAATTTTGTTTTCAGCCATGTTATAATATTATGTGTGATTCAGACCATTTTCTTCACTTGGATCGTCAGCATGTATGTGAGGTGTAGTGTATCAAATCGAAAAATTCAAGATTCACGTGAGACTCGGTTAGAGTGAGTTTCCGTATCCGTAGGAACCCCACCATCCTCACGTATCACGGCGCAGATGCAGCTCCCAGGGCAAACTCCAAACCCAGTGATATTTCCGTGAAGTCTGTCATTTTGCACTAAATTGCGTCCATAATAATATTAGCCATGTCCATTACAATACCCTATTCAGTATCAACTTCTCCGACAAGCCCTTGGTAGAGGAAACAGCCGTTAGGAGCAATGATATCAGTATCAAGTACCCGAAACCCTTTCGTTGTTTGGAATATTTGGCGCGTGTAATGGCTACTGAGGGTAGCAACGTGTCGGCTGAGAGCGCTTGAAGAAGAGCAGGACAGGTTGTTAAAATGCAACTGGTACTTTTAACCCTTTTGCACTTCCTTTTTGTCACGGTGGTACCCGAGAAAAGAGAACGTCCGAGGTAGCAAAGACAGTCGTTCAAGCCATCATTTACCAATCATGCAATGCGTAAAGACAAGTTTTCTCGAGCACTTCAACAAGCAAGCGGTGACTTTGTAGCTGTAGCTTCTGTAACTTGAGTTCTGTCCACGCTCTTTTCGCCCTCGCTGTCACATCATTCTCCCTGTTGTCCTTTCAGTTGCGGTACTGCAACTGGATAAATTGCTGATGCTTCTCCAGAACCACAAATTCTTGGGTGAACTACTGCTGTGTTCACTCACTGCAGCTTCACAGCACTGCATTTATGATTCGAATACCACGTATATTCTACGGCATCTCCACATAACAAACGAACTGATACAAAGCCGACTCATTTATCAAATGAAAGGCAATCTTGCCAGAATTTTTCTTGGACGCAGAATAATGGCAGTCGCTTGTGCAGGGCCCCCTGGTAAGAGATAGGTAGTATGTAGGCAGCACAGTCGTTCTCGTACAAATTCAACCTTTGTGACGGTTTTGTACAACTTTATTGACCTGAAAAAGACGGAAATAGTACGGACCAGCAGGAGTGGGCATTTCCAGCGGACTTTACGGTATTCTGGAGTCAATGCTGTCAAAACTGCCCACCCCCAGACCAGCAATGGTCACGTACCATGCTACACCATCTAAACCCAACAACTGAGACATTCCTAATACCTGATGGTTACCAAGTGTACATGCACTACATACACTGCATGCACTGCATGTAGTGCATACAGTGCATACAGTGCATGCACTGTATGCACTGCATACAGTGCATGTAGTGCATGCACTGTATGCAGTGCATGCACTACATACAGTGCATACAGTGCATGCAGTGCATACAGTGCACGCACTGTATGCACTGCATACAGTGCATACAGTGCGTGCACTGTATGCACTGTATGCACTGTATGCACTACATGCATGTTACTACTCACCAGGTGCCTCAGAGCTACGTTTCGTGTAATCACATTTGGCGGCATCTGTTCTGGGTTGTATTTTAGCGGAGCAATCAAATGGCGATGAGTTGCAGATGACGAAGTCCTCATGTGATGATCAATGTTTTGCAAGTGTGCTGGCCGCTTAGCTGAAGCTGTCATCACCAGTTGTTCCTGCGTAGTCCTATGTGCATGTACCTGTTCTGCACTTCCAGTTTCACTTCCACCTGAACACCCACAAGCACAATAAAATATGAGTAACAAACTGTTGGTGTCAAGCTAGTAAAGTCTCAAGAACTGTTAACTCTACAGATGTTTCTCCTCGGTGCTAAAGTTACATCTGCACACTTCCCAAGATCCCAAGAAGCTTGTCCAAGGTCCCATACACAATATACTTGCTGCTGCTGTATAATAATTATACTCTCGTACAGTGTACACAAATTGGAACATGTACCAAATGTACAAATACCTATAATCACATGCGCATTGAGTACTGTTTCGAACCGGAGACCTCCTCTCCACTTTCTACCTCATATACCTCCTCTCCACTTTCTACCTCATACCTATGTGCAACGATGTACATGTAAGTGCCTCTGCACACGCTTTAGAGGGGACTGTTTCAAATAGGACATATGGCACGAACCGGACCGGGCTCAATATTCACTTTCTCTCTTGGTATTTTGATTAGAAAACATATATTTCGCAGTGAGACTGCGATTTGTTTTACTCCGAGTCAAAAGTTCATGTTTTACTCCGAGCCAAAAGTTCATGGCTCTGCGATGACCAGAAGTGCCATACAAAGCAGGTGGGTTTTTGACGTGTTGCTTCGCACTGCGACTCGAGTGGAATGTCTATCGAAAAATCAACTTCGTGTCTCAGGTAAACAGCGGCTTGCCACTCGCCAATAAAGCACCGTATACCAATGAAAACTAATGGAAGCACACACAAGGCTTATTGTTTCTCTGTACTGGCCGTCATGGAGCGATAGCAATCACCTAATTTCAGAACTCAGGGTGAAACTGACGTGCACTCCAAAGCTGTTCCTGTTTGGACCCACCTCTGTGACACCAAAATTGTCAACGAAAAATTGGGCAACTTGGAGGCAACAGGCCAGCACAAAAGAGTGGCTGAGTTCGATCAACTTTGGCCTCAGAGCAAACTTCAACATGCCAGCTTCCTTCCACAAACATATTTTGAGTGAACAATCCACGCTGATGATCGGTTGGGGTCTACACCATTTCGCTGTCAAACTGGTCCTATTTGAATCAATCTCCTCTACTCAAGCAACAAGTATGTTGATCATGTGAATCATGAGATCTATGATCCTGCTACACAATGATCAATACGGTAACAAGGAACGGCAACAATCTTGTTCATGTGGTACCTCAATGACATCATACTTGACCTTGGCATGGTTGGAGTGATGCCAAAGACCATAAAACGTTTAGAATGATGTCATAGGATGTCGAACATGGACTGGAGTCTGGAGTGTTTCATGAATGACAAGTTACCCACCACTTGCAATGACATGAAGTAGTTTGGCCATCTTTCCCCGATGAGAAAAATCATCATCAGTGGCGGCGGCAGCAGCAGCAGCACCAGTGTGTCGTGTTTTTAGCTGGTCTCCAGTCGCAAGAAATTGTACTTGTTTGGTGAAGCGTCTCCATGCCCACAGACAGCGGCGAAGGAGAAACTTTCGATGTAGACTTTTTGCAGCAACTTCGTCCCTGAATTTAAAAAAAAAAGTTGAACAGGTAACCATAAAGCTATCACAGTTAAACATCGATAATTTGAACATCAAATACCTGAGAATTGGTTGCTTGCCGTGTTTGAGTCAAAATAATCTTCCCTGTAAGAGCCCATGAAGAGAAGGGACCGAGAACGTTCGGTTCCCAAACTATTCATGGGATCCGGCTTCCAGACAGAAGTAGACTGCGTTTGTGCATACATCTATATTACAGGCCCGGCAGAACCGGTCCAGTTGGTCAGGCCATGGCCGGACCAGCGTTTTGGCCAACAACGTGTGCTTACTGCTGAGGAGGTCATGTGTCTACCCTCCATATCATACACAAACTGTATGAAAGACTAGGCTAGGGTAGGGCCGGACCAATCCAAAACTGCTTCCGCTGGTCCCTGTATATTAATGTTGAGACCAAGACAGTACTACATCTGCCTAAACAAGACTTGAATACTAACCCCCGAGGCAAGGGCTTGGTTATTTCTATGACTGAATACTAACCGAGGCAAGGGCTTGGTTATTTCTATTTGAATACTAACCGAGGCAAGGGCTTGGTTATTTCTATGACTTGAATACTAACCGAGGCAAGGGCTTGGTTATTTCTATCACTCATGGTCCAATCACTGGTGTACTTCCCATGCCTTGTGTCCAGCACTGAGCCCCAAACACAGCCATGCAACGGAGCCTGCAGTCCAGGGCATGCACCCATCCTGCAGCTTTGATGCAGGACATGCACCCATCATGCAAATTTGGTCCAGGGCATGCACCCATCATGCAGCTTAGCCTGTGGTCCCATCATGCAGCTTTTAGAGCAATTGCTTTGATTGTAATGGCGCTCAAGCAAGCTATCCGTTGTCTAAGTCTTGGGCAATCATATACTAGTAGGGAGAACTAAGTGATGCATAGTTCAATATGACAAACAGGCTCAATTTCAACGCACTTGCACACGCAGTCTGCACTGCTGTATCGACTGCTGTGTCCACTGACAGCTGCAACTTGGGGCATGACCATTGTTGTACCTCAATCATGATGTCAACATAATCCATGTACATCCTGCAGCGCCAATTTCAACAAAATAATGAAGTTTTCTACCTTTTTTGTTTGAGCTGTACGCGCACTTCTTCTTCTTCATCTCTCTTGAGCTGTAGCGCTCTGAGATTGCTCTTCCACCGTGTCCAGTACCGAAATAATTGCCTCCATTTCCAGATCTCAATGGTAGAGATGTGTTGATGTTGGCGGATAATGACTATCGAATGCCAAGCTGTAAATACACGCTGCAGTAACTAAGGACAATCAAACATAACACCAAACACATGCATCTAAGGGGAGCAGTAAAGCGAAATATTTCAGAGAATTCTACGAGAGTGCTTTATGCTTCAGTGGCTGGATTAGTGCTCGTGTCCAAGACTATGCATGGTGTAGCACAGTGTAGCACAGTGTAGCACAGCGTAGCTCAGTGTGGCACAGTGTAGCACCGCGTAGCTCAGTGTGGCACAGTGTGGCACAGCGTGGCACAGCGTAGCTCAGTGTAGCTCAGTGGCGTGAAAGATCATTCAATACAATGTAATAGTCCATGATCAAGATTGTAGTACTTTCAGTGTGCATAATTTAGCAGTACCTTTAATTCATCTTTTGCATCTTGCTTCCTCCTGTCTTCTTCTGCTCTGGCTTGTACTTGCTGTGTTTCCTGATGCTTGCTTGACAGTTTACTCTTTCCTGTGGAAATTGAGGAACCCAAGCTTGGCGTGATTCTAGCAGTTGGTTGTTTCCGAACTTTGCTTGGTTTTGTTGATGCTCTAATTTGGTCTGTAGACAGGTCTTCAGACAGACCTGATTGCCCAACATTGAAACCAGGTACGGCTTTGCTTTGCCAATCACTAAGACACAAGTCTTGAACTTCAGTGGAATGCGTCTTCTTCCTAAAAAGGTCAATTCAGACAAAGATGCACCATACCTCTAAATCAGAACCTGTATTTGAAGAACACCAGAAAAATACGATCACAACGTTTTGTGTACCGCTGCTTGGCCCAACATCTTGCTAGTCCCCTTCTTCAGTCTTTGTACCAGCTTCGGGCAATTGCATCTGGTCACCAGGCATGCCCATGGGGAAGGCACAACGGGCCTAGTTCTCCCACTTGTTTCTACGCAGTATGGCATGCGCTCTATTTCCTTTCAGGCTGCAAGCAGATGGAATTATCTTCCAGCCGCATGTCGACAGGCTTAGTCTCTTGCTCTGTTCATCAACATGGCCAAACTTTACCTAGGGTTCCCAGTGAAAATACGGTAGCCTGTTCGGACTCGCCTAGTGTAATAAAACGAGAGGGCTTGAAAGCCCAGGAGCCCTCGCTATGCTTTGTTTTTACCTAGGTCATCATGTGTGTTATTCGTGTTACCATGGGCACGATAATCGTATTGCAAAGACATTCTATCAGTTCGAATAACACACATGATAACCTAGGCAAAAAAAGCAAAGCGAGAGCTCCTGCGCTTTAAAGCCCTCTCATTCCTAATTTCTTAACACACATACCGGTAGATACATAACTCAAAACTCTTACACTCAGACAGGTACATGTACATGACACACACATACATTCATGTACCTTCTACCGAGTGCTGATGTGTGTATGGTTTGGCTGAGAGCGCGTGGTTGTGAAGAGTTGGGAATGCAATAATTCTACCGAGTAGTTATTATTATTAAAAATATTACGTTATGGTCCTAGCTTATTCATTTTTTTTCAACACATAACATGGGATTCAAACCCGCAACGTTGACCTGCACGGATCCTCTCGATCCACTTCGCATACATGCACATTCTACCAAGTTGCTTCACGTTATGATTCTGCTGTTGAAAGCCCTAATAGTATTTGATTATGTGGCCAGCTTTCTGTGACGGGACGATAGGGGACATGTACGGGAGAGCGCACCAGGCATGGCGCGTCACGTGATAATGGCCCTACCATACACTCCAGTCTATCCGGAGGCGTGGGTTTGAATCCCACTGCTGCCACTATTACAGGAAGAGATTCAGACAACGTAGGTAGCACAGAACTTATACTGAAAGACTCAAGTGAAGGAAAACTAAACAACGGAGCAAAATGAACTGGGAAACCGAAAGACGGATCTATATATTACTTTTTGATATATATTATTAACAGATTGAAGTCCAGCTACAGCTCCGAGTGCTAGCTAGCGGTCTATAATTTGCAACATGGGACAGTGGCAGTTACGCATCACTGGTCACATTGGTGTTATTGTGTGGAAAGAAGAATACAGATGCTATCTAATAATTATAGGTAGCAAGAGACTTGATGATGGCAGCAATAAAATAGTGCAATAAATGTACGTAGTGGTTTGTGTAGGAGAAAGTCTGTCTGCTACACACCAACCGAGCTCTCCGGCCGACCTCGACACATTGCCACAGCATACCATCAGCAATGTGATACTTCCATTGGTACTCAGTTCCTTCAGACAGCTGTTTCGAGTATAAAACTCTCGTCGGTGAAGGTAGATATTGTAGAATGGCTAATACGATAGCTCACTTTGCTGATGGAGTGCTGTGGCAACGTGTCCAGGTCGGCCGGAGAGTGCAGTTGTGGTGTGGTGCTGGCATGTGCCATGTGTCGTACTAAGACATTGCTGGCATGTGCCTTGTGTCGCACTAAAACCACCGCCAGTAAATGTCTGCCACTACCCTATAGTGTAAATGCACTCTTTTCCCGTAATATTCCCCAGGCCAAGGTTAGACATTCACACTGTTATGTAACAAGGGCCCACAGCACTACACGTTGCTCAGTTTTCTGTATGCAACTTTTTTTTTAAATTGAGATTATTTTTCCTCAGCGAACACGTTTTCCCAGCCAACATGTGCGATGTACAATGCTAACTGAAACAAACACCAGGATTCTTTGATTGTGTAAGAGTAATGGATTACGTACAAGGCACGCTCCATGTCTTCCTTTTCCGTTTTCACTTTCTTCCGCAATTTGTTCACCTCTGCTTGCAAAAGCATATCTTCTATCTTCTGCTTGGCTTCGTCATGAGCTTGTTGTTCCATGATTAACTGCATCACAAGAGCAAGAAGACACAATGAAAACCGTATACTGTCTGTATAGTATCATTTCCGTGACAAGTAGGGGTGGAATGGTTAGTACGGTTAACCGGTTATGTAGCTGTTAAGAGTAAATGAGCAGATATCCGTTTCCACGATGGTTACACGGTTCCATTGTTCACTGCACACTGTACACTGTGCATAATACCGTAGGTTGTTGAGCTCTGGCCATGTGACAACATGACCCTACACTGCAAGTACTGCGGACACTGTCTGCGCACAATGGATGCATGACAAGGTGATGCTTCAGTCGCAGTCCAGTGGAGTATACAAAATCAAAACATTTTGAACCAGCTCTGAAACTCTGAGCAAGTGACAACATGCATCCACTCGCATGTGGTGGTAAGTGTTTTGTTTTGCATGAGGTGACGGGATGTTCATAATCACTACACACGGACGGAATATTCACAATCATTGCATATGGACGGGAAATTTACAATCAGTGCGCATGGCATTGTACACGCAAGCAGGGTATGTACCGTTTAGTAGATATAACCAAGAGTACATCAACCAGAGTGTGCAACTGTGCAGATCAGATCTGAAACAGCGTAGTTCGTGCACTACGTCGCCTTGAAGAGGTCAGCCAAGCTGCGACTTGCGTACAGCTCAAAATTTCGTGTTCCACAGCCCGGAAATCAGCCAAGTGTGCATGATTATAGACATCATCCTGTGTTTGGATTTCTGTGTTCTTGTGTGACTGCGTGCGCAGCGTACATCCGCTGGCAAGTAAATTCACCAGGATATCCGTATCAAAAAAATGCCGAAATCAGGATAAACTCAGTGACCTGCACCACCGCGACTGGTTACGCAACTTTTCACCGTACCTATGGCTTACCATGCCGTCAGAAATGACGTACTCCACGGATTACGCTCCCACAGGAACCATCCTGAGTTGCATACACTGGTTTATGTACTCGTTATACAGGTAGACTTCCTCTAATTCGAACCTCAAATTGCCAGGCCCCAATTTCGAATTATCCGGAACTTCTAATTATCCAAATGCAGTCCCATGTACTGATATGTACGTCAAAACGCTCGAAATTGCATGCTGATTATTTTTGCACATTTTATTAACAACAACGAAACATGGGTGGTCATGAACAACGAAATCATTTTAAAATCATTTCATGAAAACACTGGATCGACACAAAGTCATTGGACATTATTTTCATCTTCTACGAAGTTCTAGTGAAGCAGTTTTCAATCGCTGCAGCTGTCCTGAAACAATTTCGACGGAAAAGAACAGCGCTGCCTTCTCTGCGTCATGAAAGCCCATCGGAGAACAGCACGTCGTTCTTAAGAACGGAAGTGGAGCGTAGGCATAGACAATTTTTACGACTTCCAGTTGTTGTTCAGTTCCAAACTTCTCTGCGCATGAGCTGGCGCGGCATGACAAACCACTGAGATCCGCGAAGGGAGCCAGCCACCTGGAAGAAGTCGTCTTCAATCAAATCTCGCAACTTTGCCTTGCACAGGCTTGAATCAAATTTCGAGAGAAGGTAGGTGTCGCCAACCCTATTGTCGATCCTGGAGCGGACCAGGGATCGATTTTTGAGTTACTCTTGGCTAGAGAAGGAGAAAAAATGAACTTTGAATCATGAGTAGAGCAACCCCATCTCACTTCGAAATAAGCGGTCGAAGGACATAGTCACCGTACTGTAAACTGCTCTTCTGTACGAAGACAGAGTTCGAATTATCCAGCGGGCGCACTTTTCGTACTTCGAATTATGCATTCGAATTTGACTTGAAGTGACTTGCAGAAGATCGGTACGACGAAAAAGTTCGAATTACACGGAATGTTTGAAATATACCGTATTCGAATTAATTAGAGGGAGTCTACCTGTATAACCGTGTAGTAAGCAGTTAAGATTTCGGTTAAAGGGGAAGTGCATCGATTTTTCAAGCAGGGTCCAGAAGAAAGACAATTTGATATCGGTTCGAATGGCATATCTCTCACTTGCATACGATAAGCCAAACTTGACAAATCGGCAATTGTATGCTCACGTTGCCATAGCGACCAGCGCAGTGATGACGCACGTTCTGCTTAGCTCCGTGAGACAAAGGGTCGATCACTGCAGAATTTGGTCGTTTTCAATTGTCCTATTGTATTCACGATGTGAAAGAAGTGCTGTGTCCAATGCCGTTAGTGCCGTGAACTGTATATTGGCCTTCTCCTGCATTTCCCTCGGCTGATTGTAGCCTAGGAAATGGTTCCTCTAGGAGAGGATGCTTGATATTCGCCATCTCTCCTTGAAATTTCAGCAAACTTTCAAAAAGCTACGACATTATTTTGTTCCTCAATCTCCACCACCCATCGTCACACCTGGCTTCAGATGTTCCGAGAGATAGGAGAGTCACTAGGAAGCATCTCACCCATCTTCAGGAAGTGGAAAGAGCAAATGCCATGGTCCTTGGTTGGGGTAAATGCTGATCGTGACGTCTGATTTGTCCCAACGAAGATTTCAGCACTCTATTCGTCACTATTTTCGCTTGTCTGCTGACGTCTCCGCACTCCAGCTTTCTCCTGTCGGTGTCACGTCCGAGTACACAACCGAGAGGACTACTATGTATTTTTATTTTTTACTATTAACACAGCCCTCCTGGAAAACATGCGGAGAACAAAAAGAAACGAGGAAAAGGACAAAACATAGGGAATGTAGGGACGATGTGTCGATGTGCTGGGAGCAACTCAATCGACCAGAGGTCTCGGCGTCAACTAATAGACAGTTCCCAGCACTAACAGCATTGAACACAGCCCTTCTTTCACTTCGTGAATACAATAAACCAATTGAAAATGACCAAAATCTGCAGTGATGGATCTTCTCTCTCACAGAGCTAAGCAGAACGTGCGTCATCACTGCGCTGGTCGCTATGGCAACGTGAGCACACAATTGGCGATTTGGCAAGTTTGGCTTATCGTATGCAAGCGAGAGATATGCCATTCGAATCTATATAAAATTGTCTTTCATCTGAACCCTACTTGAAAAATCGATGCGCTTCCCCTTTAATGATAACCCGAAAACTGCAACCGCTTCAGGCCTACTTTGCAGTTTGCACTGTCGCGGCACTGTTTGCCCAGAAAGTCTATTGAAGTATGATGTGATGTGCAGTTCTGCTCTCGTCATAGTGACAGGTTGTGCAGGAACACTCTCGCCCTTCTTGGTGAATGGTGATTGCTATGATGTGCTCTGGCTGGTGCAATAGTCAGCTATAGCCATTATTTTGTACATTGGGTTGTGTCATTCATACCTTCTTGGCATCGCTTGAAATTCTATCCACCTCCCTCCGTTGTGCCTCCTTCACACGTCTTTTTCTGCTACGTTCCTGTGCCTGAGGTAAAAACAATTGTGCACAATCGCAGGGGGTTATTAAGAAAACGGTAGTGTCAGGGGTTGGAGCGTCCCCGCCCCCCCCCCCCCTCCCCCCTCTTTGTTCAGAGAGATAGTCCTGTAAAACGTCCAAAACCGAGGCGATTTTCAATGGATATCTATGTGAAAAGTGTGGTGCACGCACGTGCCGTCTTCATAATCATTGTTACATGTTCAGGCATAACAGTTGTGAGTCGACTTCGTCATGTGGTGTCTTGCACGCACAGTCACTGCGTGTACACCCACAGACGTAAAATATCAACTCATTTTGTTGGTGCATGCAGTTGTGCAGCCTGTACTGTGTCGTAGACAATAGAGTTTCGTCACTGTAAGTGTACACTGGACTGCCAAGCTGTTGCTCTACGGAGAGCTCGTAACTTAGCATGGGACGTGTACTCAACCGCGATGTTTGAGCAAGTAAGCAGTTCTGCAGGTGCCCTCGGGATTGCTGGGACACTGCTTGAATTGCATACGCATGGGATAGACGTTTGAGAAATTCTAGACAATTGCATAGTCAATCATTGTTTGGAGGTTTACCAAAGTAAATGGGCATTGCCGCTTGGCCAAATTGATAGTCCCAGTTGCTTCTATTCAGAAAACCAGTGTTGTGTTCACTACTAACACCTCAAAAGTTTCAGGATCGCACAGACGCCACAAGACAAAAGGTCACGTAATTCTTTACGGACTATAATGAATGAACAGTAGAATACATTGAGAAGAAGAGACTGGAAAAATACGAACTACATCGGAAAGAGAACTCTAGAACACTAAAGAAAACAAACCACAGCATCAAGGAAAAGAACAACGCATGAGGGGTAAAGCGTTGGCCAGCCACACCGTGCGTCCAACTTTGGCATGAGCGTACAGAAGAGCGTACAGCGCTCGGAAAGCGGAAGCTAAATTTGGCGGCAAAGCGACAGCAATAGTACGGCGCGCGGCACATAAGCAGTACGAGGCGAGGCACGTATACGCGTGTGCGGCAAACATTACACACCATGTACCATATATGCATGAACAGCGCGGGGCGCATACTAACTCATTCAACATCAGTGCGCGGCGCAGGCATCTAGCTAGCTGGCGCAAGCATGATCATAATTGCATGCCATCACGCAATCAGCGCACATAAATCGCGCATCAAATAAATAAGTAATCAAACACAAATCAACACATCAACTAAATAAATCAACGAGCTAGCAAGAACACAATTCAAAAATGCAACGAAGAAATAATTACTATTCTAGTCGGTTATTCGCATGGGACCAAGCGCAATGTCCAAGCTGATGAACTGTGATTGCACAAGGTAAGCCCAAGCTCCTGAGCTAACCGTTCTGGTGTGCAGTCTTCTTCGTGCTGCAAACACACACTACACAATGTGTCGTATCTCGTAACAAGTACTGTACCAATCACAACGAACACTAACAATACGCAATAGTAAACAATAATCAAAAACACTACGCAAAAAACAAAGCAAGCAGCACCTAGCCAGGGAGACAAGCAGGAGTCACGGTCGCAATGAGATCTCGACGACACCCCAGAAGACCTTTCTCCGACACGATACACAACATTCTCCCCACCAAAGGGCTTCAACCACACTGATCACAAATCAAGACGAGGTGGTGGTCGAACGGTACGACGAGATCGACGCGTAACTTGCGGTTCAACGGTCGTCGAAGGTATTTCAACATCATCGACGACGTTGACTGAATCAGCGCTCGCGGGTGTCTGCGGCTCAGCGTCCACAGCAGGCGGCTCAACATGCTCCTTCGCTACTTCCAACGGAACCAAGCGTTGAATGGGCCGTAGCATGGACGATTGGCCAACTTGGACTTTGGCCACTCTGCACTTGCCATCTCTTCCAGGATACAGCTCTGCGACCCTACCCAAGCGCCATGATTGCCGCTTCCGGTTGTCGTCGGCAATAAACACAACGTCGTTCACGACAATCGGAGTTGACTTCGACCGATGATACTCACTGAGACGAATGAGATACTCAGACGACCAACGCTGGTTGAGGTGCTCGTAGACGGTGTGGACATACTTGACTCGAGCGGACAACTGCCGTGGATCGAGTGGTCTGTCAGACGAGGCAATACCGGTTGCAAAGATGTCTCCCAACATCATGGCTGGAGTCAGCGGCGACTCGTCAGCTACATCCGTAGAAACCGGAGTGAGGGGTCGAGAGTTGACGACTCTCTCGATCTCCGTCAAGACAGTGAACAGCTCGTCTCGACTCAATGACGCTCGACCGAGAACCTTCTTCAAGGGAGCTTTCACACATGCCACCAGACGCTCATAGAACCCTCCATGCCACGGGGCAGATGGCGGATTGAAGAACCACGGGATTGCCACCTTGTCTGCGGCGGACTTGAACGTCGTAGCATTATCTGAACGTATACGCAGCGGCTTTCCACGACGGGCGATGAAACGACGCAATGCTAGCAGGAACACCTCTGTCGACAGGCTATCCACGAGCTCTAGGTGCACTGCGCGAGTAGTACCGCACACGAAGAGTGCGACCCACACTTTCTGAACATTTGATGAACTGCGCACGTACAACGGACCGGCATAATCAATACCTGTGAGACCGAATGGCTGGTGGTGCTTCACCCTGTCTGAGGGCAACGGCGGCATCTCCTCAGCAGCAGCCTGTGCGCGAAATCTGCGGCAAACAATGCACTTCTCCGACACGCTACGAAGAAACCGACGAGCTCCGAGAATCCAGAACTGCTGTTGTAGAAACGCAAGCACGCTCTCTACACCCTGGTGCATTCGCTGAAGGTGAGCATCACGCAGAAACAACTCACTTAGATGACATCTGCCCAGGATGATCGGATGCTGAACCTCGTAGGACAGATCGCTCTCCTGCAGACGACCACGAACTCTGAGCAAACCAGCTTCATCCAGAAACGGAGACAACTTGAACAGCTTCGAACCCTTCTTCAGTGGCTCCTTGCTCCGCAACTGGGACAACTCCTTGGGGAAGCATTGCTCTTGGATGGCGCGAAACATCACAGACTCAGCAGATGGAATCAATTCTGCACGCGAAACACCCTTGTGTCGCCATGACAGCATACGTGCGACCAAACCGCGAGCTCGCTGCCACTTGGAGAACTTCTCCCACGGCCAAACAACTGGAGTGTCAACCTCCACAGCCGACACGCGTGCTTCGGTGACGGACTCATTGGTGCTCTGAAACGAGATGACTGGTGGCCACTGAGACTCATCGCTCAACCATGACGGACCATGCAGCCACATCTCCTTCTGCAAGTCACACACTGGGACACCACGCGAGACAAGATCTGCAGGGTTGCTAACTCCTGGACAGTGACGCCATTCTACTTGCAGCTTCTGCGAAACTTCTTGCACTGCAGCAACTCGATTAGCAACATACGTCTTCCAGTGATACGACGGCTTTGAGATCCAGTGCCATGTGGTTAGGCTGTCTGTCCACCCCACAATCCTTTCAATTGGCACTCTCAATTCATTGACGACAAAGGACAACATCTTCACGCCAAGACACACAGCCGACAATTCCAGACGCGCAAGAGTGGGACGTACAACAGGTGCAACCTTCGCCTTCGCACACAACAAAGAAGACGTCAAACCGGACACAACATAGAAACAACAGCCATAGCCCTTCTCGGATGCATCTGAGAATACATGCAACGTGACTGGAGCATCTGGAGTACACCCGATCCATCTGGGGATTTTAACGGAAGAAAGCGCTGCGAGCTCTCCCCACCATGAAGCACATCGGACAGCCAAATCAATAGGGAATGGGTCATCCCAACCACCGCCGAGCTTCCAACTCTCTTGCAACATCATCTTGCCTGGCACAACTGCGGGTGACGCCCAACCTAGCGGATCGAACACAGCGGCAACACAACGCAACAACGCACGACGAGACCAACCAGACACTTCCTTGGGACACTCAACATCACCGAGCGCAGCCACCGAAATACAATCTGACTCGGTGTTCCACACAATACCCAGTGCCTTGGAACCAGCCTCGGGGTCTGAGGTCATCGTGTTCCCTCGCCACTTCCGCAACTCCATGCCTGCTCCCTGCAAAACATTAACGCTATACTCCTGCAGCTTTTCAGCATCCGCACAGCATGGCAAGCTAGAAACGCAATCATCAACATAAAAACTACGCAGCAGCAGCTCTATGATATCACGCTCAGCAGCAGAAGCAGACTCGAATGCACTATCGAGATGAAAGCGCAGCACAGCACTAAGTATGAAAGGAGAACAATTCACTCCAAAAGGCAGCTTCTTTAAACGCCAGATACACATTTCTTCGCTACCTATCTCAGGCCAAACAAAACGCAGATATGGCCTATCTTCTTCACGCATTCCGATCATAAAAAAAGCCTTGCGAATATCGGCTTGTACAGCACATTCATACTCACGGAACCTGAGGAGGATACCAGTGAGATCCGGTAGGAGTGATGGCCCGGGATCGACCATGTCGTTTAGGGATGGTGCTCCGGTGCAGGCGGCGGATGCATTGAAGACGACCCGTGTCTTCGTCGTTGAGGCGTCGCTACGGAATACGGCATGATGCGGCATGTAATAGCCGGCTTCCTCCGGATGCGGTTCCTTTTCAATGGCATCCAGCTTCAAGTACTCAGTGATGAGGACGTCATCATACGCTGGACGTTGACCTCGTCTCTGTAGCTGCTTCAGCAGTGAGTGTGCCGCTGCCATCGCTTGGTTTAGGTTGGCTGGCGGACGCTTCTCAGATCGCCATAGCAATCCCACTTGGTAATGAGGGCCTTGCCGCTCTATCGGGAAGTCCGGTAACGTCTCAGCTATTTCCGGCACCTCTTCCATCTTCCACAGTCGGTCAAGTTCAATACAACTCACACTGACGGTCGCTGACTTGGTTTCACGATTAGCCGGTCCTGACAGCACCCAGCCTATTTCAGTGTGCCAGGCCGTCTCTCCATTGATTTGCTC